GAGTACCCCCCCCCCCCCCCCCCCCTCCGTGTATCCGTTCAAATGAGCTGGGGAAGCAGGCCATGAACGTGCATAAGCAATGTTGTGCCTGGTGCCTGTACCTGCAGGGGTGCGGAGCGGCGACGATGCCAACTACACCCCCGTGCGCCACGCTGCATCTCCAGTCGCTTCAACAACCGTTTAAGGTTGTTACGAACACGAATGGGAGAGTGTTCATGAGAGAGTGTCCGGGTGGCCGCGCTGTCGAAACTTTTCCTATTTATGCGATACAGACGATTGTCGAACGTGGCGGCGGCCAGGCAAACATCGTGGACTCATACCGCTCATTGGGCACGGTGTGAGACGTGGAAAATGTTCCGTCCGTTGTTGGTGCTCCCAAGGGAAACCTCCCACGAGATGATAGAATGAAAAAGCTGGACACGGTTTGAAGGGAAGCCTGACAGCCCCAAAAGTCCAACTTGCTGTTGAAACCCTCATTTTCGAGGACTGACTCTCTTTAGCTCCGCGTCAAGCTGGGAGTGAATCGATAGTCACCGTCGGACACGCAAAAAAAACTACTACCCGTCTCTCAGCTTCCGGTTCCGCCCACACCAACGTCCACATGGGCAAACCGGGTCGCAAAGACAGGGAAGGTCTTCCCCGGCGTTTCGTTTTGGGGGAGTTCGAATAGGCGAAATACACCAAAATGCTTTCTTCTTGCCATATATCAAATTACCGCGAGGTCCAGCCAAACAACGAGGCATGTCTCCTGCACGTATGCGTAAATGTTTTTATGTCAACCGTAGCCACGTCTTTTGCTTAAAGTGACACACGGCAACGTCCAGTATCGCGCAACACGAGTCCACACGTTTTCCCTTGTCCAGATGTTCAAAACGAACAGCAGGGCAAACGTGCGCGTGTCCGCGCAGAGGCGCATGTAGAATTGGGGACCACCAATTACCAGCGCACTACATCCATGCGGCATTATTTATGCGGTTCTGACAAGCGTATAGGGTGCCGATAGCTTGTTTCTGTTCTACGGGTGAACGCGGGAAGGGGGGGGGCAGCGAATGTCACTTCGAAGGACGGCAAATCCCTACACGTTGTGTAGTCTACAGCACTATCGACGGTGTACTGATGATACGTCGTGAGCGTCATCCGTCTTCAGCCGCAACGACGACTGCATCTTCAGGCACGTCCCACTGAGTCAGTCCGGATTCCTCGTTCTGGTAGTAGACGCTACCGGATACTTCGTCCACCTGAGGTATCCAACGGTTTCTCGTTTTCGCCGCCTCAACGATGGTGCCAAACTCGATACTTGGCCGATGGTTAGCATCGCCATTGCTGATCCGTGTAGTTGCGACCGTGCCCTCCAAGCTACCTTCCAAGCTTTCGGATGTGCCGTCGCCACCTTTGTCGCCATCCTCGTCATCGAGACCCATGACGTCATCGCCTGCCGCAACGTTGTTGATGTCATCGGCATTCGGATAGAAGGGCATGTTTGCTCCTTGCTCCTGCCCCTCCTCTATTCCTGGTGATGCCGAGTTGGCTTCAATCGTAGCTGCGAAGGACCCTCCACCACCGTAATCCCCCCCCTCTTCCGCGCCCTCTTGTCGCTCGAGTTCGGTGCCACGGTCACGTTCATATTCTGCCCAGCTGTTCCGGTAGCCCGGGTCGTTGCTATCGCTACCGCCGTTAGTTGCCCCGTAGCTTGAATAATCATATGACTGCTGCCAATCCGCGCTCTGGCGAGGCTCGGTGTACAGGTCACCTGCTACCGCTGCTGCTTCTGTAGCTCCTGGGCCGCGGTTGTCTTCGTTGGGTGCCGCCGGGGGTTGGGCTCGAGACGCGGCAGGGTCCCCGCTACCGCTGCCTGCACCGCGGATCCAACCTTCCACCTCGGACCATATCCACTCAGGTCCTTCTTCTTCCGCGTCGACCCCACCCCTACCATTACCCTCATGCCAACCCTTGCTCTCGTAGCTCTTCGAGATTTCCGTGTGAAGCGCCCGTTCGGTGTATTCACCGATATAGCTCGACCCCTCGACCCCCGCCTGCGCCGGCATCGACAAGGAGGACGCGCGCCGAGCGGCTCCAACAGCCTCCGCGAAGCCCTCGCGAAGGTTATCAGTGGCCCATGCTCCCTCTTCCTCCGTTTCTTCCCGCTCTTGATATGCTGTATCTCTATCCCATTTCTCCTCCTCCTCCTCCTCCTCCTCCTCCTCCTGCACCGCCGCGCCTTCCGCTGCCCTTTGCGCTTTGTCAATTCCACTGTCATCGTCGCTGTTACTGCCGTCGATATCGCGCTCGCCGTGCCTGTTTTCGTTCCTGCGGTTGTCTTCTCCTCTTGCCTCTCCGTCCCATGGTGTACTTTCCTTGGACGAATTGTCACCACCACCGTCGTTTGGAATATAGCTGTGTATGTCGACGTTGTAGAAGAGTCCCGCACAGTCACCATGATCAAGATCGAGCGCCACCAGCTCGGGGGTCCTTCCGCGGGCGTCCCTGGCGTGCGGGTCCGCTCCGTGTTCCAGCAAAAGTCGCGCTATGTCGGTAAGGCCCAGCCTACATGCAGCGTGGAGGACGGTTCCTCCGTTCTGTCTCATGATTCATAGCGTCGGGGACACGAGAATGACGGATGGGACCGTGGCGCGGGAGTCGCGGTTGTAGGTGCGTAGATAGAAACTCGGAGGAGATAGTGTATTCTTGCACAGAAAGGGCTGATGAAGCGACTCGCTTTGCACTAGTCAACAGGTACTATCGCCACCACGATTTTCGAAAGTACTGCATCATAGGAAATGTACACCTAGTCCACTTGTAAAGTCTGCAACCACGGGGTTTCTAGGTAGACTTTCCCTTCCCCCACTGCTAGCACCCTCTGTTGGGGATTGTGAACGGACACAACACACCACTGTCGAAACTTACAAATCATGCCGTTGAGTGAACCTACTGTACTCTCGACGTTGACTTGCATGCGACATATACCACGACGGTCAAGACCGCGGAGCTCCACTCTACGCACGCCACCGCATACAATGTTGTTGTCACTTATGCATTTGCGTACATAGACTTTTCTTCCTAGACAACCTCGTTCTGGTATAGGAAACTCCTTACATTGCCTGCATGCCGAACTTGTTCATATTCACCTCGTCTTTGACGCTGAGGTCCGCCGGAGGTTCCGCCGCAAGCAGGAGCGCAACCGTGGGGGCGTCGGCCATCTCGATGCTCAGCCGAAGGCAAGTGAGGCCGCGAGCATCTGGCAGGCAAACGTTCGCTCCGGAGTGGACGAGAAGCCGCGCCGCGGCGTGCTGATCGTTGACGACCGCCAGGTGGAGCGGCGTCATTCCCGCCGACTCGTTAGTTGCGTTCACCTATGTTGGCGATTTCCGCCGAACACAAACAGCACGGTATCGAAACTATCGTCCAACCATTCACGGCCGTTGTTGAGCTTACAACAACGATAGGAAGTATGAGAACTTGAAAGTAGTTTCAACACCAAGGCAAATCGCGCTCTCTGAGTAATTCTGGCGACAGCTGCAGAGCTTGGTACCGTGTCACGGTGCATTATTTTTCTCCGAGTAGGGCAGGAAGATATACGGATATCCAAGATATTCAAGCTTATAGTAGTAGACGGAAGTTGAGACGAGCGTTTCATGCCGCGGTGCGAGGGTACTGAAGTAGGGCACGCACAGATGGCGTCGAAATTGGTTCTCAAGTTCATCCATGTAACGACCGATTTCCCTTGTCCTATACAATCATAGCCGAAAACAGGGCAAACACGAAAGCACTCACGTTCGCCCCGGCGCGCACCAGCATCTCCGCAACGTCTATGCTTCCCGCACCAACGGCCTCGTGGAGGGGTGTCAAACCGTCCCCGACGGTGAGGTTTACCCTTGCACCATACTCCAACAAAGCCGCTGCCGCCGAAGCATTCTGCGTTGTTCAATTTATTGCACCAGTTTAAGAGAGCGCCTTTGATTCGTGTCACGGTGTCAGTTTTACATGGGAACGTCAGCGAACTGGCATACAACACTGAGGTTATGCAGGTATGGCGTTGCTTGATATTTGCACGAAAGAGACTCACGGCTCTCTGTGCAGCTATAACAAGCGGCGTCCTCTTCCCGCCCCGCGCTTCCTTCGCGTCCACCTCGGCGCCGCTGTTCGCAAGAGCCGCGACCGTCTCCCTGTTGCCCTTCTCGCCGGCCGTCATCATCGGCGTAAAGCCTCTCCTATCTCTCGCCTCCACCGCCGCCCCCGCTTCGACCAGAGCCTGGATGACACCGGCCCAGTTAGGGGCATTCCCCCGCCCTCTCAACCAGTGACCACTGTCGTCACGTCGCCCGTCTACATCTGAGAGATCCCCAGCAAGGTTTGTGCCGCTCTTGGCTGCTGGGGCCATCGGTGCGAGTGTGGAGGAACCCCTTCGACCCACAGCAGCCTCAGCACCATCCCTGACACGATTTTCTACCCACGTGGCCGGCGCATGACGATGATCTTCGCCACTCCAACCTCCTCCACCTGCCGCTGCCGCGTGCAGAGCCGTTTCGCTATCGCTTCCTGCCACCGCGTTCACATCCGACGCTCCCCCCAACCTCACCCACGACCCTATCGTCACCGTCGCCGCGGGAGGATGTAGCAGGAACGCCACTGCACGCAGGTCCCCCTCGCTCGCCGCCTCTACAAGAGCTCGATCGAGCGTTGCGACGCGAGCTCGAACTCTTGCCCGCCAAGCCCTGACCAGTCGGAACCCTGCTCGCCACCTCCGTGACTGCAGCCTCCACATCCTCTGGATCAGTGACGCGCTGTTGGAGGCTCTTGCGGCAATCCGTCGCTCTCGCGGAGCTCTCCACAGAGCCCTCTGGATAGTTACCGCGGCGTTTTCCCTCGATCGCCGCTTGGCGGCTTCGCCACGGAGCTTGGTGCGTTTGTCGGCGAAGTGCCGAGCCTGCAGCGCGTCAATTGCTCCCATGGCGGCGTTGGCGGCAGCAGGGTCTGGTGTGGACGGCGGCGGCGGTGAAGAACTCGGCGCCAAGGCAGGCGAACCAAGGGAAGCCGTCGGTCGTAAACGTTGTTGTTGTGTCTGGGCGATAAGAAATAGCCGAGAGCACGCGGCACAGGAAGAAATAAGACATGGTAACCTGACTGCAGTGTAGCGTGTATGTGTTCCCTGCTTTCCACCTAGTACTTTGGACCAAAGCAAAGCGTCGAAATCGAGTTGTGGTTCTCGTCCCTACAACTACGTCAGAACTGATCCTGGAGGCTGTGGGCAACAAAGCAGGCAGCGAGGAGGCCTCCACTGCCCAGCCGACGGCCCGTGGTGCCCTTTTCGATAAATTGAGCGGGGTTCACGAGGCCGACGCCACCATGTCTTGGCTCCTCACAAGCCTCACCTGACTCTTATCTCGTCCGTCACGGAACGACTTCATAGACTTGATCGCCGTCCCCAGTCCACGGAAAGAGCGCGTCGGAGACAACGCCGAGGATCGATTAACCGTCTTGTTGTTGGTCGTGCTACTTGCTGTCACTTTTATCTGGCTTCTCCTGTCACCGTCCGGAGACACGACGGAGACGCTAGCCTCGTTGCCTAACCATTCCGCCCAGCTGTCCTCGTCCTTGCCACTCGCACTAGCCGTTGCAGAGGTCTCCTGCTGGCGAACGCCCTTGGGTGGCGGCGCCAATCCCCCCGATTTTGAAGCATTCGAAGTGGGTGCGGCTTTTAGATTTGGAAATGATCCTGCAGCCCTCAGTTTCCCCTTAAATGACGCGAAGCTTCCAGCCGTGCGGATGAAAGAACGGGAGGGCTCAGCGCCAAGCCCGTGCTGCCGCAGCTCATGTCGCCGCCACGTTTCCAAAGCCCCCCGCTGCCGCCCCATACTCCAGTGCCGGTACAGCTGCCTCAGGGCCTCGGCGTGTTCCGGCCGCCAGTGCTCCGGTCCCATTTTTGGCAATGCCCACCGTCGCCACGCCTGCCGTAGCCTGGCTCTCCCGAACCGTTCCAAATGGGAGACAAGCTTTCCCATCGCTGAGCGGTTCCTCGTGACGATGCGCGCGCCCTTGGCGTACGCCCGGAGGGCTTCGAACGCGAACCGTACGAAGATCCGTGAGGACATGCCGAACCGGCCGGCGAACGCCTCCGCCATGCGGCCACCGAGGAAGGTAGCCCTGTGCCTTTCCCAAGCGGACATGCCGTGCCGAAGCCGGCCGAGACGGTAATGTTTCGCAGCTTTTGTGTCACGGTGGCGCCGTCGGCCCTCGGTGCTTTCGGCCCATGCCACAAAAGAGTCTGCCAACGTGCGATTAGAGGTTTCCACGTTGACTTGGTCGCTTCCGGACGAACCTCTCTTCGATTCAAGACCTTCTCCTTTTCTGGTCGCGGCAATGTTCCTGGTTAGACTTGCGTAAACGGCGCCGCGTAGAACAGGAGGAGGAGGTCCCCTTTCCGTTTCCCGCCCGGGGACATGTTGTTCTCTTGCTGCCGTAGTGCGCGCAGCCTCCTCTTCCTGGTGCACCTCCCACCCGTGGGTAGCGGCTGTAAGCAACTCTTCGTTGTTGTGGCCGGACGCCTCCTGTACACCGTCCGGCGTCGAAGGTTGAACGTCGTAGCTCTCGTCTACTGCGCCATACGTACGTCCATCCCCCCCGAGGTCCTTCAAGTCGGTGAGCATTCCGTCGCACATGTTGAAAATGAGGTTGAACGGAGACCCTCGCCGCCCCATCCTCCCATGGGCTCCGTCTTGCGGGTCGGGATCATCGGATGACTTCGTCTCTTCCGTAGATAGGGCTTGTGTTGAGTGAACCACCGCTTCTGCTTCTGCTGCCTCTGCTGCCTCTGCCGTTTCTGCTATTGCTTTTGTTGTTGTTGTTGTTGCTGCTGCTGCTGACTCACTGCCAATCTGTTGATAGTGCGTCTCGCTTGGTTGTTCAACCGGGGCGTCGTCTGGAGGTTGTGTAAGGATGGCGCCCCCTGCCGTATCGTCAAGATAGCGCCCCGGATCATCCACGCGATGTCCGTCGCTCATGTCTACATTAGCCGCCGGATACCCATCGGCGTTGGTGCACCGCTCGTCTTCTACAGCGGCGTCACGAGTATCGTAGCCTTGCTGACCCTCGTCTTCAGCGTACCCGTAGTATCGTCCTTCCTCGTAGTAGTAGCCGAGGTTTTGGGCGTCTTTACGATACTCGTACCCTTCACCCTGCCGTTCGTGGCGATTGTCGTCGGCATACATCACCCCCCCGTTCTGGTAGTCAAGGCTCTGGTCGTCAGGTGGAAGAGCACTTGATTCTTCACGCTCGTCCTCCGCCTCTGTTGTGTAGTATCCTCGCGTCGCCGCCCCCTGAGCGTGTCCAGATTCGCTCGACCCAGTCGACCGCCGTCGGTCGTGTTGAGGACGCACCTGTCTTTGGAAACCATCACCAGGGTTGTCGCGGACACCCGGCACCTCGGTCGTCCGTCGTTCGTTGTGGTACGGAGTCACTCCGTCCGGGAGGTGGTGCTCACCAGTTGAACGAGGAGCATGATGTGGGCCAACATCTACGGCCCCGCGGTTCGAAGAGAGGGACCTCCTAGGAAGACCTTGTGAGTGTTTTGGGCCACTCTCCGCCTCTGACAGCTTGCGTGCTGTGGAGGATCTGTGCGGAACAGCCTGACTAACTCGCCCACGATCGTCATCAACACAAGCGTGATGGATCTTCTGCCGCTCTTCCTCCTCCTCCTTACCCCCCCGCTCCTCTTCCTCCTCCTTTGATGCAGGTTGGTTCTCGTAATGGCGTTTTTCCCGATACTCTACTCCACGCCGTCTATCGGAAAAACGGCTGCCGCCAGAAGAAGCGGAGGCACTGCGTGACTCTTCAGCTGCTGCTACTGCTGGGTTCGAAGATGGTGGGCGTCGTTTCGGTATGTCGCCGTACCTGGAGGTAATTCTATTGTCATCGGATCTGTCCTGCCCGGAATCAGCCGGGCTGCGCTTTCCAGATGAGCTGACCGGGCGTCGCCTCCTGCCAGACGAGCTAGAAATCGGTGTTGGGTCGCCCGAACGTAGCCTAGTCCCCCTATTCTCCTCCTGCTCCCAACGTTGACGTCGCTGCGTGCGCCGAACTTCGCGGTATAGCACGGCCGAAGCAGCCGCCACGCGTTCTGCGGACACACCGAGCGACCCCGAGGCGCTGAGGGGAAATTTGCCCGATCTAGATCGAATGGAAGAGCGGTCGAGGACAGCAGAGCGCCCGTCTAGACCAATGTGGGACAGGAACGGATTGTTAGAAACGAGCACGCCCAGATGTTCTTCCAGCCCCGGGAGGCGCGAGAGGAACTCGATGTCACCGGCGGCCTTCACCAGGTAGTTTGACGATCCCCAGATAAATGGTCTCTCCTTGTCGCCTCTCCTCCATCTCTCCACGGCCTCCACAATCTCCACTGTGATGCGCCGCAGCACAGCCAGCAGCTCTGTGAGCAGGGCAAACAACTTTGGCGACCGTCGCTTATGGTCGTTTAGACCATTTGACGCCCGGTCGTTCCCGTTGGTGGTGGCCTTAGATCTGGCCCGCTTGCCGTAGGCCGACACGACCCCATGGAGCTTGGTCAGGTACGTTTCTCGAAGAACCACCCACTTCATGATGCGTAACTCTCTAGGAGCGTAGTCCGAGCCGCCTCCCATGCGAGATAGCGCCACGAGCATCCCACCGTCACTGCTTTTGCTCCTCGTCCTATCCTGGTGATCATGACGGTCGCGTGGTGATGGGGCACTTGGCGGCCTAACCGGATGGCCGCCGCGTACCAATGGGGCACTTGATGGCCTACAATCCCGATGACGAGGGAGAATTGTTAAAGTTGAAGGAAATGGCGAATTACAAGGACGGAAGCGAGGAGAGGACGAACTTAAGTCTACAAGAGGCTACAGTAGATGGGTTCTAAGTAGGTGGGTCGGTTTGGATGAGGCAGGCAGTGCACCACTACACTGACAGTGACTTGCAACGATGTAAACACAATAGAATGTAGACACAACCTACCCACAAGGGCAATTTCACATGCAGATTGAGGACTTACGATAAATCGATAGATGTGTCTCCCCGATTCTTATAGGTACATTGCAGCGGCTACTAAATATTGACAAGGTCACACGGCAACTGTATCGTTCGAGTGCACGCAGCAGGCCGTACAACTGCTGTACAACGTCTTAGACTTTACTCTTTTGCGAGATAGCCTACCTCGATCTTTTGCCCGCTTGTAGGCTTCGCTCCTCTACCGCCGGCGCGTTAGAATACACGTGCTTTCTCTTTGCTCTCGAAGAAAGGAGTCTCTCTTTGCCGCTCTCTTTGCCGTTCACACAGTCTGATGCAGCACCTCTTCGGGATAGCGGTGTCACAATCGCAGATCTCGGCCGTGTACGGCGCCTGCTCCCAGCTACAGCTGCGGCTACACCTTGGCCATGATCCTCAAAACGAAGCACTTTCCGACACCCTCGATGGCCACGTTCAGCACCCTTTAGTGGTCTTCTCCCCCCGGCGTGGTGGTGATGGCGGTCGTGATAGTCTTCGTGTTGTCGCATGCTTGCAACCGGCAAAGTTCTCACCTCCCGCCGATCGCTGCCGACGCCGGGGTACGGCATGGGAAAGCGAGAATCTGCGTCACCCTGGTGCAGTTTCTGCTTTCCACGAGCCGTCGCCAGTCGCATAGCTACTCTTGGACGCTTCGGCGCTGAACCCTTCGGGACCTGTTTGTGCTCTGGGGCTTGGGTTACTTGTCGCCGCGATGCTGACGAACGACGGTCAGGAGATAACCGCATCACCCCTGACCTCGACGAATGGCGATTTGGGGATGGCGACGGCTTTGGTCTCGGTCTGGCATAATACTCGAATTCTCTTTCGAAGAACGCATCACCGTTAGCGTCACCGCGCGCGGCAGCAGCTCGAGCAGCGCGCATATCTCCAACTACCCCACATGTACATGGGCCCTCCACACAATGTGTATCAATCTACTGTACGCGTACATGTCTACGCGGCCTACTGCTCGGCACTATTGTCACGTACATATCGTAGACTACACGTACAGTCGCCGCGAATGAGACCCGTCTCGCGATCATCGTTGAAAGTGTACGGACGACAATCATAAATCGGAGCACCTTCGAGTAGTTTTCACGCACGGGGCTCTGTGTCTCCCCTCCCTCCCTGCTCTCCGGCTGCCATCGGTCGAAACGGAACAAAAAACAACTGTAACCGTCGTGCGGCGCAACTGTGGCATGAACCACCAATTCGACAGCCCGCAGATGCTACCTTTCAACCCTCTCTGTACACCTTTCCACTACGGGACGCGTGGGCACAGGTGTGACATACTCACAAGCAGTTTGCGTAGGTGTAGCGTGGCTTTATCCCAGCGCAAGGGATAAGGGGGTAGATATGACGGCGAGGACGATCAATGGGTCGATCAAAATCAGGGAGAAACACAAGATTTTCAAGGAGACCGGCTCCCCGTTCGATGCGACACCGATTCACTCCATCCAGGTGTGCTGTGTACGCTTCCGGGGGAACTTGTAGTGATGCCCCTGATGGTATTACTAGCCCCCAACCTGCTGCGCGAGCTCTTTGGTAGTGAACGATGATATTTGGCCACAAGTTTCTGAATTCCTTCCACACACGGGCGGACGTGGTCGCCATCCTATTGTGCGTTGGATAATTCTCCGCGTGGTTACCATCGTATGACGGTACGTTGGGTGGTGGTACAACCAAGCGATCGCACGAGTGCATGAATGAAGGTATCGTCGGGTGATACGAGCGAGGCGAACGAGTCTTGCCTGCCGGCACGGCATATCTATCTACACGCAAGTAGACGCCCGTGTAAGAAAGCAGTCTAGATTCGGGAAGGGTTCAGGCTCAAGTTCAGCAGCGAAAGCAGTAGAGCAAACCCACACAAAGCGCTCCTACAAGTCTATTGTGACACGGCGTTTGATCGCACACGTTTACCTGTTTCCTTCACATAGCCCCTTCGTAACTTTACGACGACGACGGCGGACCCAACATAGTCTACGTGATTTTCTGCCTCTTGTCTCAATCGCTCCTGCTGTAGACTATCTACATAACGTAAACTAGAGGGGGAGTGGTCATCGATGATCGAATCTTCGCTTACGGCGGTACTGTAGTTTCCCACCCATCATGTTTAACTGTTTTATTTCCGTACCTTTTCTTCGGGGTGCATAGCTTGTGGCCACGAAAGCCGTCCGCGTCAGCTGGATCACCAGCAAGGACATAAGGAGTACGAGGATGTATCGGAATCGTTTTCAGTGGTAGATAACAACAAGGACAACACCCAACTACAAGTGTTTGACGTGTATGTGCCATACACCCGTATCGACCCTTTTTGTCGCTCCGGGATATACCTTGGACAGCTCCGGCCAGGCGGGCATGATACTCTCCCGGCCAAGCCCATCGATGTGTCGGCATTTTCATTCTCGAAGAGAACGGCGCACCAAAGCCCTCTGTCGTTTCTGAAGCGGGGGACAGGGAACGGTGGGACCGTGATCCCTGTCGGTTCTGGCGAAGAATCCCCCTCCGGCGGCGCAGCGAAAGGGGGGCAAAGCAAACGGGCGTCGGCTAGAGCAGCAGCCGTAAAAAAAAACAAGCTGCGGGACTTCCAGGTACAATGGTGTTCACCTTGTTTACGGTGGAAGTGGAATAGAGATGGCCAAATTCGCTGTGCAGACCTGCGCGATACCACACTGCAACGACAAACTCAAGTTCATCCATTTGCCAGTTGACGGTCAGCAGACTCGCCGCGCGCTTGTTCATTGGGTACTACTTTAGCGACCGGTGAGTGGATAGTATTGCCTCCAGTTCGGAGCTGTTGCCCGGCGGATGCAAAGAAAACACATTGATTGATGTCGTGTTGCCGCTGCTGTTGTTCTTGTTGTCACCCAAAAATCAACAAACAGGCGTTTGCCGAGCGTCCGAACCCTCCGAACACGGAGTTCCGGAGATTCTACGAGCGCGGAGACTTGCCCGTGCAGATTGACCACGGAGGAGTACACAACAGGATCGCATGGAAGGTCGACATCCAGAAGGTAGGGGTCATCATGTCGTGCGTGAGACTTGCTATCCGTGTGTGATCTGTACACGACGCTTTTTTCTAGCAGATACTCCGCCGGAGTGCTGTGGACAGTACCCTCGGTTTCATATATTTGTTTGGCTTGGGAACTAGTTGAAGTCGGGAGGTGGAATTTGTGGCTGGGCCACACTTGCGACCAGCGCTTTGTTTTCCGCGTGCGGCCGAAGTACACGAGAAACCACTCTAACACTGTATTGTTGACGTCGATCGACCGGGAACTGTCCCTATATCTCGACCCACGCAGGGATTCTGCCGACCGAGTTCAACACGATACTGACCGAGGAGCCCAGGCTCGACAAATCCAAACCTCGCACACGTAATGAACTTCTCAATCGACGCGCCGCTCCTTGAATTGCGCTTGTTCTCACGAAACCATGCTCGGTGAAGAGTAACAACAGAAAATATACGCTCGATATCTAGATCTACTATTCAGGTTGCAAACATGACGCACGATTTTTCCTCGTGTTGGCCTCGTCCTGTACAAGTTCTGTATCCATGTGCTTCCCGTGCGAACCATGTCGAAGTAACCACAAGTGCACCGCTCTACTTCTTGCTGCTCTGTTCTGGGCTGCAGCTGGATTTCCACCACTACCTACCGATTTTCTTTGATGGGCTGCGCGAGTTGGAGATGCCCTACGCGTTTCTCGCGGAGCAGGGCGTTTACGACATGCTCAGCGCCGGGTCCAACAAAGTCCTCCCTGTCATCCCGCAGCTCATCATCCCCATCAAGAGTGAGCAACACAGGAAAATACTGATTTTTCTTTCAGAATAGCCTCACCCATCGTGTACGAAGCCGTATCGTTGTGTGAAGACAAGCCGCCGCTGGTTTCAGGTAGAGGTCGCTCCGTCCTTCGAGCCTCGCTCGAACCAACAACGTTCGCGGCACACAGCATGAGACAGCAGTTATCGCCTTTAGCCTCGGTGTCATCCAACAAACGCCCGAAGAAATGTCCAGGCACTCTTTGCTCTCCAGACAGCCAAATGGTGTTGCTTGTGTGGGCGATAACATGATAACCAATCGCAGTCTGGACCGTGTCCGCCCAAACCTTGGCGTTGATGCCTTGCTCCAAGCACCTTGCGCATGCGTACGTACGTACGTGCTCTCATCGTGGTCTGGTTGTGTTTGTCGTTGGTGTCATGCTGCATACAGCCGCGCTCAACACGAGGCAGAAGGCGGTGATCGTCAAGGTCCTCAAGGTGTTGCAGTCGCTCGTGACGTGCGACCAGGGCCCTGACGGGCAGGGACTCATCGGGCAGGCGCTTGTGCCCTACTACCGTCAGATCCTGCCAGTGCTCAACATCTTCATCCGGCAAAACGGTGCGGTTTACTAAGGGTACCAGTGTAGTAGTAGACAAGCACGTTCTGTTTGGGTGTTTGGATGTGTCACGGTGTCTGATGGCTTTGAGGAATCTCCATGTTTCGAGGCTAGCAAACTGGCACCGTAGCCGTAGCGTGGTGCATGAAGAGAGTGGTGTTGTTGCGATAAAGGTTAAATAATGCGGGAGGTGGCGTTGTTCGCACCTTTCTCTACTCCTAGCTTGCCCTGTATTCTTTGTTTCCTTCACAGTCTCAATTTTTCGCATAACATACATATGCGACGAAGTTTGGACCAACAGCGTTGTTGCGGCGTCTGAGTGTGGAAAATCGGTAGGAGTCCACCTGGGAGTTACCCGCACTTTCCCGTCGAACAAGATCGCCTGATTTTCCCCGTATAGAGAAAAAAAGAAGCAGACGTACCTCGTAAAGTTCAGTACCCCGTCGACCTTACCGCAAACGGCGAACAATGCGACAACAAAACCAACCAACGTTTGGTGCGCTGTGGTCGCATTTCCCTCATTACTCTCTGCCGTTTCCCGACGTCCAGACAACCTCGGAGATGGCATCGACTACGGCCAGCAGAGGCGGGAAAACCTCGGCGAGCTCATCATGGAAACCCTGGAGGCGTTCGAGGTGAACGGCGGCGAGGACGCCTTCATCAACATCAAGTATCTCGTGCCTGTTTTCCAGAGCGTCGTCGTCAGCTAATAAGATGACAGCAGCAAATTGGTGGCGTCAACAAGGACGTGCTAGTATCACCGAGAGGAGCTGTTAGTTTCTTGATACAAGCAAAATAAGGTCCGCGCGTGGTGGCTGACGTGAGGGGCAGCCGCACTTGCGAATGCGATGGAAGGCTATATTTCAGTACAACAACGACTGGGCAACACGTGCGTGCGTGCGTCGGAATACTGTCGTCCAGGAGCGTATGCTCTGTCGTATACTAGATGAATCCCCCACATATTAAGATGGTATGTGCCCTCACGGCAGAGGGAAGGATCAAGCTTCCTCGAGCGACGGAACGGGTCGTGCGGTTGGTTGTAGGTGGCTAAAATTAATCAAATTACCGCGGAAAGAGGCACGATAAAGGGTAGGGATCAGCAAACAAGCCGAGAAGAGGTCTGTCTCAATTCTTGCGGCGGAACGCGCGGTTTCCCATCGCGGCGACAAAAAGAGCAGACAACTACCATTCGACCCGTGAAAGGCCACTTCGAAAAGCTGGTCCGAGAAACAGAGAACGAAAGAAAGGAATGAATAAATGACAAAAGGCTGGGGTGAAACATTTTCCACCGTACCGTTAAGTCTACCAATCTGCTGCACGTGAGGTACATTACCAAACTGACACGCGAGCGGCAAGCTGCAACGGAGACCAACCCCCAACCTTCCGGGCCACGCCCTCCCTACCACGCCTCCCGCACGCCTCCAAATATCGTTGTTCCCTCCCTCTCTCCCCCCCCTCTCAGAAAGTACGTTCGTGGGGTATGGACCACATGCTTCTTGCGTTGTCACGTAGGCAAACAAGACAAAACCTTTCACAGCACGCAAAGCACCCGAAAGATAGGTGGTGGTGCGTATTACCCCAACAACACCATCCCCAGAGACATACACAACCCTCACAGAGACGGCCAGCTCCGTGTTGCTCGAGACAAGCACACACCGCGCCCACTTCAAGCCTCCAGCCAAACCCGCACGACGCAGCCACCGGTCATCTACCCACCCGCCCACCCACTCCACTCTCTCACTGCTGCTCCCACGCATGACTCGCCTCCATCGACGTCGAAAATTCATCACCCCGCAATACTGCAAAACCACCGGTTATCTTTTTTTTTTTTGTGGATGGGTTGTTCATCTTGATCGTTCTTTCTTCCACCGGTACACCGCGGGTCTGCCGTCCTTGGCCTCCTGCACCTTCCGCTTCGTGCCCTTCGAGTTCATCACCTTGCGCTGCGCCTCGAGGTGCACCTCTGCCTTCTTCATCTTCTCCGCCTGCGCAATCAAAGCCAGCAGGTGTGCGTGACACGCACACGCAAAAACAAATGTGTAATCAAGAATTTGCGAAGAACACGGGTCGACGCGCGGACACGCACACGATGGGGG